CCTGAGATGGCGGGACTAGCTGGGGCCCCACTAGGCACGTTTGCCTGGCTATGGCCGTGGCTCTCCACCAGGGGCCCGGGGCCACGAGCAGGTTTCAGGGGTCCACCACGCATGGCAGGTACCGGGCCTCCAGCCACACAAGCCAGGGCTGAAGCCAAAGCCGAGCGACTTAGCTCCACGGCGAGCTCTGACAGCTCCTGGCTGTCTCATGTAGGGAGGCAGCTGCCGCCGCACGGATGGGCTGGGGGTTTATTGCACAGGGGGTGCTCAGAAAGAGAAGGGTGAGCCCCCAACAAGGGCTGCCGACAGAACTCCCGGGCAACGGGGAGGGTTGGCTCTGGGGCCCTGGGCAGAGCTGGGGGCTGGTCTCCCCCCACCAGCACTTCAGTGTTGCCTGGTCCGCACCGCCTGGAGGCCTGGGGGTGGTTTAAAGGGCCTGGGGCCCGGCCGCGACCACAGCAACAGGAGCCCCGGGACCTGCCCCGGTCTGCCTGCTCTCTGGCGTGCCCAGGGGGTGCACAGCTGAGCTGGGGTCTCCTGACATTCCCGGCACACCCAGACCCCCCTGGCTGCGGTTTCTCTTTCCCAGCCTGTTCCCGGCGCGAACCCCGCTGCGCCCCAGAGCACGGCGGGCACACGCTGGCACCGGGGCCACATTCTCTGACCAAGGCCAGTCCTGGTGGGAGTCCCTGCTCGGGTTTCCGGGATGGCGCAGACAGGACACGGGAGGGTACCTGGTGAATCCGCGCTCAGGGGTGAGTCAGGAGGGCTGGCCTGGCCTGCGAGGAAGGAAAGAGGCCTGTTAGGCAGAGCGGAGCCTTACGGCACTGCGGTTTCTATGACAACACGGGGGGAGACCAGAGCCCCTGCGATGCAGAATTCAAATCTGGGTTTGGGTCCAGACTTCAGCTCCCAGCCTGGGGCCCCGGCGCAGACCTGAAATCCTGGCGGAGTCCCCAGGGGGGCTACTTTCCTAACCCGAGATCTGAGTCTACCTGCTCCTAATGCCCCTGCCAGTGTTCCTGGCGAGCTCTCCCTAGAACCTGGTGTCCGGAGCCTTTCCTCCCTCCTCCACCCAGTGTTTCCCGGTGGCTCTCTGATGCCCCTTGCTGTCTGAACCAATTTTGCTGTCGTTAGAAGCTCAGGACGGACTAGCCGCAGAAAGTCTCCGCAGCAGTGGCCAGCACCCAGCTCTTACCGCTCTCTCGTGGGGCCTGCGTGGACAGGCCCGGAAGGGGAACGTCGTCTTCTAAGTTCTCCTCGGTGGAAGAGGCGCTTTCACGCTCAAAGTCCTCGGAGTAATCTGAGCTTCTGTCTAGCTCCTCCGGCTCCGAAAGCTCGGGCCTGCGTGTGCTGACGTACGGCGGTGCTGACTTTGGCCGGAAGGCGCCCCTCCCTTGGTGAGCCGGGAGCGTCTGACTTGGGGGCGTGGGAGGGAGGGGATCCGGGCTGTCCTCCTCGTGGGGCTTTGCCCGATGTTGCTGCTTGAAGAGCTGGGACTCTCGGTGACGAAGGAAAAGCTGGAGGTGGTGCTGGACATACGGGAGGTTGAGGACGCCGCTGGCACTGGGCCGCTTTGCGGGGCACTTCTCCAGGATGGCTTGGATCACGCCGTGCAGGGGCTCGGAAAAGCACTCCGGCACCGGGGCGTAGGGGCCTTGCACAATCTTGTAGAACAGGCTGACCAGACTGATGCCATCGAAGGGCGGCCGCAAGGCACACGTTTCAAAGAGGACACATCCCAGCGCCCAGATGTCTGCCTTGGAGCTGTACGGCACGTCCTCGCAGAGCTCGGGGCTCAGGTAATAGGGAGTGCCCACGAAAGTGCTTGCCATGTCCAAGGTGCTGTTCATGACCTTCGAGATGCCAAAGTCCCCCAGTTTCAGCATCCCTTTCTTCGTGAGGAACACGTTGGATGTTTTGATATCTCGGTGCAGGATCTTCATGGAGTGGATGTGCTGCACGGCCATCGCTAGCTGCACAAACCACTCCATGACGGTGCTCTCGGGAAAGTAGCCCTCCTTCCTCTGCTTAATGTGGTCGTCCAGGGAGCCGCCGTCGCAGTAGTCCTGGACGATGAACATGTGTTCCTTGTCAAAGAAATGCTCGTGGCAGCTTACAATGTGGGGGTGCGTGAGTTTGCCCAGGATGGTCACCTCCTGAAGCACTGCCTCTCTGGTCCTCGTTTTCTTGGACGGATCGGTCTTGATTTTTTTCACGGCAAACAGTTTCTTTGTCCCTGTGTCCCTCATCAGGAGGACCTTGGCAGTCGCTCCCCGGCCTATGGTTAGCATCTGCTCATACTTCTCCATCGTCGCAACCAGCATCCGAACTAGAGGGAGAAGCAACGCCTCAGGTTACCATGTCGGAGACGTCAAGCAAGGCCGCATGCTTTCTGTTTCGCGACCGGGGGAGGGGCACCCAAAGTCATGTGACTCGCGGGGGCGTGTTGATGACAGCGGATGGGGCGGGATTCGGAGCCTTTCACCTCGACATCTCTGGGGTGAATCGGGAGCAGGGCACGAGGGCCTGACCGATGTGCCTGTCTGACAGCAGCTGCGTAGTGGGCCTGCATGAAGGGATCTGTGGGCCCAGTCTAGTGGCTGGGCTCTACATCACAGAAACCACTATGACACTAATCCCCCCCTGAAAAGCCAAGGACCGAATGGGCCACACTTCGTCCACAAGGGCGGCCTCTCCAGGGCTGAGCTGGGGCTTGTTGGCCTGGCCTGACCGATGTGCCTGTCTGACAGCAGCTGCGTAGTGGGCCTGCATGAAGGGATCTGTGGGCCCAGTCTAGTGGCTGGGCTCTACATCACAGAAACCACTATGACACTAATCCCCCCCTGAAAAGCCAAGGACCGAATGGGCCACACTTCGTCCACAAGGGCGGCCTCTCCAGGGCTGAGCTGGGGCTTGTTGGCCTGGG